CCACAGAGACAGCCACCAACCATGGATCATCGACTCCTAACAGATATCCCAGGGCCAGTAACAGACAGTATCTGACGTTGACCTGCACTGGAGTCTGTCCCAAGAGGCCCCAGAACCAACACACCCAGTGTGCTAACTTTACACCACATCAGAGCGTGACCTGATTAGCTCCACAAATGACACACCCAAAGAGCTTAGGAGACACCAGACCCTGCTGGGGCAAATTCTGCTTTTTGGGGTCAGCCTCCACAGAGCAGCTCGTACACTATAGTCAGGGTCAATCCTCACAGTAAGCCAGTCTGAGGGTTAAACCCACATGCAAAGGCCAATGGCAATTAAGACTCAGCTATAGCCTTTGCTGGTTTGGTTCAGTGGTAGAGTGGCAGCCTGAGGACCAATGAGTCACAGGTTTGATTCTGGTCAAGGGTATGTACCTCGGTTGCAATTCATCCCCAGTCCTGGTCGGGGTCGTGCGGGAAGCAACTAATGGATGTGTCCCTCCCACGTCAATGTTTTTTTTTTTTCTTTATTGATGTTAGAGAGAGAGAGAGGAAGGGAGAGGGAGATATAGAAACATCGATGAGAGAGAACATCGACTGACCGCCTCCCGCCCAACCCCAAATGGGGATGACTGGGCCCACAACCTGGGCATGTGCCCTGACTGGGAATCAAAATGGCGACCTCTTGGTGCATGGGGCGATGCTCAACCACTGAGCCACACTGGTTAGGCTCATGCCGATGTTTCTATTTCCCTTTCTCTTCTTCTCTCTCCCTCCTACTCTATCTGAAGATAAATAGAAAAATATCCTCAGATGAGGACTAAAAAAAAAAAAAAAGGACTCAACTACAATAGCAGAGCTCACATAACCCACACAAAGGACATTCCTGGAGCACCTACTTAGGTGATCAGAGAAACTTCAGGACTGAGCCCCACAGGACACCTACTACATTAGGCCACCCTATCAGATCTCTCTAACACAGAGAAACAAATAAAGAGAGGCAGCCAAAACGGGGAGACAAAGAAACATGCCCCAAATGAAAGAAAAGGAGAAATCCCTACAAAAAGAACTATATGGAATGGAGACAAGCAAGTAGATACAGAGTTCAAAACAATGGCTATAAGGACGCTCAAGGAACTTAGGGGGAGAATAGATGAACTCAGTGGGAACTTAAACAAAGGAATAGTAAGCACAAAAAAGGACACTGAAACTATAAACAACCAGTCAGAAATGAAGAATACACTATCTGAAATAAACTAGAAGGAATCAACAGCAGATTAGATGAAGCAGAGGATTAAATCAGCAATTTGGAAGACAAGGTAGCAGAAAACATCCAATCATAGCAGCAAAATGGAAAAATAAGTTTTAAAAATGAGGATAGTTTAAGGGACCTTTGGGACAACATGAAGTATAACAACATCTACATCATGGGGGTACCAGAAGTAGAAGAGAGGGAGCAAAAGATTGAGAATGTATTTGAAGACATAACTGTATTAGGCCAGAGAGCACCCTGCCATAGGAGTGCCTCTGTAGATATGTCCTTTCATTGTTCACTTCTCATCCTCCACTGGCCAGGAACCTGACCCTTGGCTGTTTCAGTAGAGCAACCACCATCTTGTTGGTCTGGTCTTTGTTTTTGTACATACCCCGAAGCGCCTACCAAGAGAAAGCCTGCCCAAAGCTCTTTATAAGCGGCAAGCCCCAGCCAGTTTAGGGCTGATGCCATTTTGGACTCAGCCTGTCTGCTTTACAGATGTCCTGAATAAAATTCTGTTCCTGCATCACTTTGGTCTCATGCATACTTCCCTTGGTAATCAAACAATAATGACTGGAAAATTCCCAAAACTGGTGAAGAAAAAATACACAGAAGTCCAGGGAACACAGAGAGTACCAAACAAGATGAACCCAAGAGGCCCACACCAAGACATATAATTAAAATAGGAAAGGTTAAAGAAAAAAAAAGAATCTTAAAAGCAGCAAGAGAAAGACAGTTACCTACAAGTGATTTCCCATAAGACTGTCAGCTAATTACTTATCAGAAAACTTTCAGGCCAGAAGGGATTCACATGAAATATTTGAAGTGATGAAAAGCAAGGACCTACAATCAAGACTACTCTGCCCAGCAAGCCTATTATTTAAAATTGAAGGCGAAATAAAGAGTTTCCCAGATTCAGATTCCCAGACCAAAAAACAAACAAACAAACAAACAAACAAAAACAAAAAACTAAAGGAGCTCATCACCACCAAATCAGTTAAAGGGATTCTTTAAGAAGAAAGAAGTCCTGCCTGGCCAGTGTGGCTCAGTGGTTGAACATCGACCCATGCACCAAGAGGTCGCCTGTTCAATTCCCAGTCAGGGCACATGTCCAGGTTATGGGCCCAACTCTCAGTGGGGGGCATGCAGGAGGCGGGCAATTGATGTTCTATCTCATCGATGTTTCTATCTCTCTCTCCTTCTCCCTTCCTCTCTCTCTAAAAAGAAATCAATAAAGAAAAAAAAATTTAAAAAAAGAAGAAGAAAGAAGTCCTGATTGGTGTGGCTCAGTTGGTTGGGCAAAATTCTGTGCATCAAAAGGTTGCCGGTTTGATTCCTGGTCAGAACACATGCCTGGTTTGCAGGCTCGATTCCCAGTGGGGGGCGTGCAAAGAGGCAGCCAATCGATGTTCTCTCGCACATTGATGTGTTTTTTTTTTTATCCTCACCTGAGGACATTTATCTATTTTTTGTTCGGATAGATAGAGTAGGAGGGAGAGAGAGGAAGAGAGAGAGAGAGAAACATCAACGTGAAAGGGACACATCGAGTGGCTGCCACCCGCACAACCCAACCAGGGCCAGGGACAAACTGCAACGGAGGTACGTGCCCTTAGCGGGAACCGAACCCGGGTCTCTCTGGACCACAGGTCGATGCTCTAACTGCTGAACCAAAACTGGCCAGGGCTCACATTGATGTTTCTATCTGTCTCTCTAAAAAAAACAATAAAAACATATTTTCTGCCCTGGCTGGTTTGGCTCAGTGGTAGACTGTTGGCACGCGGACCAATGAGTCATGGGTTCGATTCCAGTCAAGGTCAGGTATCTCGGTTGCAGTTCGTTCCTGGCCCTGGTCCAGGTCGTGTGAGAGGCAACCAGTCGATGTGTCCCTCTCATGTCGCTATTTCTCTCTCTCTCCCTCCTACTCTATCTGAAGATAAACAGAAAAATAGCCTCAGGTGAGTATTAAAATAAAATGTTTTTTCCCCGTTTTTCCTACCTCTTCCTTCACAAAAGCCTATTTTCCAAGACCACGTTGGGTGTAGCTGCAATAGCTTTTTAAAAATCCTTGCCTGATAATTCTAATAACTGACTGACTCATCTTGGCATTGCCTTTAGTCGATCCTTTTCCCTTGAGGATGGGTCACAATTTCCTGGCTTTTCTTATTCTGAGTATTTTTGGATATTTTCATGAACATTTTGAGTATTATGTTGTATAGAGACTGAATTGTTATATTCCTGTGAGGATTATTCCTGCTCTTGTTTTGGTGGGCCATGAACTTGGTTAGACTTTAACTGTGAATTCTGTTACTCCTGAGGTGGGCAGAGGTCAGTCTCAGCCTAATTTTCATCTTTGGCTGAGTTGTTTCCAGTCTGCCCTGCGCACACATGATTCAGGGGTCAGCAAGAGGCTCAGGTCGAGAGGCTGAGTACTCATACCACTGTGGCCACACCTCTGGCTGTCTTCAGAGCAAAGCCACACACACAAAGAGAGAACCACTCCATGCTGGCATCTTCCCCCAAATATCAATTCCCTCCAAGATCTGACTTTTGTTCACTCCCCACAACGCTTGGGGAATTGGTTATTTCACATTTTGTCCAGAACTTTTCAGTTGTTGTCGGTGGACAGGACTTTTTAAGGCGCTTACTCCTCTGTTGACTTCCATAAGTTGATTCTTGGAGATATTTCGGGTTCGGTTCCAGATCACCACAATAGCGCGAGTCATAATCTTTTTGCTGGTGAAGGTCTTGCCTTCAAATTGTGAAAAAAAGAAAAAAAAAAGAAAAGCTGCATCTGTGAAGAAAAATAAAACGAGCATGCCTGTTTGATTAGCATTTGGTTTAACTGCATCTGTAGAAAACTCAGCCCGGGGAAAAGGTCAGAGATGGCGTGGCTGTTCATACTCAGCTCAGCAAACAGGAACTTCGGCAGGTATGTAACTCAGAGAAGTTCCACACGGAATTCCTGTTCACAAAATCATCCGAGGGGTTGGAGGGAAAGTGAGGAAGCCTCCAGGGACTTCAGCTTCAAGGTCACACCACAAAGGCTGAGGTCGAAAATCAGGAACGTGTGAGCAGGCACGAGTCCGCCAGCACAGAGGTGCATGTCGTCCATATCCAACGGCCAGCGGCCACAGCTCCAGGAAGGTGCCCTCAGGGAGATGGCCAGTGCAGGGGCAGGTGGGCTCCCACCGGCCCCATCATCGTGGAGGATAGTGCTGTGTGTTTGCTGGAGCTAACTGGCTTGGATTTGTCTCCCCCAGCCCCTGGATTCTTGCAGCCCCACACCCAACCACTTCACCCCATGGTAATGTCCACACTGTACTACCGTGAGCCCAGAACTCACTCAAAAGAAGCCACACTGTGGCTGCTAACTCTGGGAGTCACATCCTGGTTGAGTGGCCACCACCTAGAATGGCTTGGTGGGGTGGCCTGTGGAGACCCTGCCAGGGCCCTGCTGGGAGACCGCACACTGGCTGTGCTGTGTGCTTTTGGCCGTTCACTGAGCCTCTGAATGCGCCTGAGCAATAGGAGAGTAAGAGCCCATGAAGCAAGGCCTTGGCTCCAGACATGTGCCTGGTACACCATGGTCAGTCCGAGCTTCCACCCTTGCCCACCAAGGGAAGGGCCGAGGCAGCTCTCCAGCCCACACCCTCCTCCCTGGGCGGCCCCTCCCCGCAGGGTCCCACCCACACATTCCTGGAGCATGAGCAGGGAGCTCTCAGCCGCACCGGTAATGCCTCATTTGCTTCCCTGACAGACCCAAGAGGCTGCTGGCCTCTTGACCACCCACTTTCCAGCTGAGGAAACCACGGCAGAGGAGGCTCAGGTTTGGTCTATCACCCTGGAACATCGGAGTCCCCATGGGCAGGGCTCAGGAGGGACCCGTGGGGGTTGGGGGTGGACAGTGGCTCGGTCAGGGTCTGGGTACAGTGTGTGGGCATGCTGGGGAGGTAAGAGCCAGAACACCTCCACCAGCACCTCCTGGAACTTCCAGCCAGGCAGCTCTGGGTGGGAGCAGGGAGCAGGCTGAGGCTGGTACTGGGACCCACTCAGGAGGGAGCCCTGACCAGCACCAAACAAGCAGGCTGGTGGGAGGTGGGGCAGCCACTGCCTCTGCCACGGAGGTTGCCCCTTCCTTAGTCCTCATTGCACTTGAGGAGCAGCGAGGACCCCGCCCTCATGCTCTACTCAGAGGGTCAGCTCTCCTAGAACCAGCTGCTCCTGACATGCGGCGGGCCCCTGGCTGGCTGCGCAGCACCTCCATGTCTGAGACCTGGCCTAAGCCCGCAATCTGCCCGCCTGCCCACTCTCTCCAGACAGGCCTGTGATTGGCAGGGAATGTGGTCTGACTTCATAGTCCATCATAGTCCATCACTTGAGGGCCAGGCCTTGGGGCCTGAGGTTGGGCTGAGGTGGGAGATTCTGCAGGTGGGCGGGTCGAGGCGGGTGGGAGAGAGCTTCTGCCAGTGTCCTGCAGCCAAGCACTTGCCAGAGGCTCTGAGCTCAGGAGTCTCAGGATGGGGCGAGGAACTGGTTTCCTCCATCAGAGTCACCTGTACCTTACACTACTCCGAGGAGCTGCTCTGGTGGCAGGGGCAGGACGGCAGGGACAGGGCCAGCCCTCTCTTTGGCCAGGGCCCACACCCAGGGTCCCGGACAGGGCCTGAACCTCCTGCTCTGGCCTGTGTCCCCATCTGAGCAGGGCTCAGCATGCAGTAGGTCCTACGTGAGTGTGCAGGTGACTCATGAGTAACAGGTTACCAGGTGGATGCTGGTCATAGAGGACTCAGGGTCAGAGATGGGACCGTGCTCGGTTCTACCCTGTCCTGTCCCCATGGGACCACTAAACTGTGTGGGTCCATGTCGCACGTCAATTCTTACCCGTGCCCTGGACTAGCTGAAACGCCGTGACTCCTGCTTGTGGCATTCTGGCCCGTTCGGAAGCTGCAGCCCGAGACAGCTGAGGTGCCTCTGTGGCCCCAACCTGGCCTTGAGTGGGGAGGGAAGGATGCGGATCCCAGGGCCCATGGTGGCTGGTGGCTGGCTGGGGCCCCTGGCTACACGGGGCTGCGGGGGGCTGAGAGGAGAAGCGGGGGGAGGCGCAGCTCTGCCTGGTCCCACCCACTGCCCATTTTCTGGTTTGGGATCTGGTGGGGGAGGGGAGAGGGACTCCCTGGGACCTTGCCACTCCCCAGGACACTCCCTGAAGGCTGAAAGGGGTGGCTAAAGCGTGAGTGTGCCCCCCATTTCTGAACCAGGTGTGGGGCTGATACAGCCTGGGCAACGGTTTGGGGGAAGGGATGGCTCCACTCCACCGGGCCACCAGCAGCTCCGGGCTCCCTGGGAAGGGCGAGTATAGAAGGCAGCTTGGTCTCCTTCAGGCCCCATCCTACCCTGGGACAACCCACCTCCCCCACCTCCCCACTCTAGAAAGTGCGAGGGGTTCTCACCCCACAGGAATGCCTACCCACTCACTGCCCCACCTACGGGGCTGGGAGCCGGGAGGCAGCATTGCCCTCGGGCATCCACCCAAGCCTCTGTTTTGAGAGACTTCAGAAGGGAAACCACCCAGCTTTGTTCACCTGTCAGCGCCCTGGGTTTGCACAAAGCCCAGCACCTGTGGCTGTGGGTGTGGCATGGCGGGGCGGTGGGGTTGGGGGGGCAGGCAGGCCAGGTGGGCTGCCTGGAACCCAGAGCGGGCTGGAGGCAGCCGGACACTGCTGCAGGGGCCTGAGGATCGACCTGGAGCCCCTCTGGGGCTCCGAGACCCCTTCACTGGCCCTGGGCAGGGGCATGGCTGGGTGAGTGGTGGGGACATCAGAGTGGCTGTCCTCCACAGAGCATGGCCTTGCAGAGTGCTCGACCCACCCTGGGGTTCTTCAGGACCCCCACCCCCGGCAGCCTCCTGCTCCTGCTTCTCAGCCTCAGTGAGTGATGGGTGGGCTGCCGCAAAGGGTTGGAATGCCAGGGCGCTGGAGGGCAGCCCAGGATTCTTAGGAGATCGGGACCTTAGGAAAGGCTCTGTCTGCCCCCACGCCTCCTCCCAGTCTGGACAGTGGCCCCTGTCCTCAGCAGGTGCCTTAAGTCCCAGGCAGATGTCTTAGATCTCGAAGTGTTGAGTCTCAGCAGGTGCTGCGTTCCTGGCAGGCTGTCAGCCCTGTCTCTTCCTGCTGTGCCCCACGGGGTGGAGGCCTAACCAGGGGGCTCAGGCCAAAGTGAGGGTGTTTGGGGGATAGGTGTCTGACTGCCCTGAGCAGCGGGGTCTCAGGAAGAGGATGTGAGAGGCCTGGGCTCCCTGGTGGGGTGCAGGACCTGGCCTGGGGTGTGGTGTGGCATCACAGGGTACAAGAGCCTAAGCTTCTGTTTCCACACCTTGGGGTGTATTTGGGGTGGGGGTCAGGGAGGGGTTGGCTTTGCCTCCTTCCTCCCCAGGGTAGGGCCTGCAGCAGGCACACGCAGAAGCCCCAGGCCACGCCCTCAAACCTGTGTCCCTGCTCTGCAGGGTGGGTGCTACTATCCAGGGCCCAGACTGCAGACACAGGACAGGTAAGGACTCTCTGGGGAGACAGGGGAAGGTTTTCTGGTCCTAGGTGGGTGTCCTCGGATTCTGGGCTATGAGTGGCTCAGCCACAACCCTGCTCTGTCCTCAGGGTGTCATGACCCCATGGCTGCAACGCACCTTTCAGGACCTGTCCTGGCGGCGGTCTGAGCCAACCGTCATCCTCCCGAGGGCTCTGCTGGGCACAGAGAGTGAGCACAGGGCCCAGCTGCACCGAGTGTCGGGAGACCTGACACTGAGGGTGGGTCTGGCACTGTGGGGTCGCACCTGCTGGTGCTGTGGCCCTTTCTGGCTGCTCAGCTCGTTCAGTTGTGACAACCTTGGAGAGAGGATAGAATCACCCCATTTTGCCAATGGTTATACTGTGGCCCGGAGAGGGTCATGTATTGCCCAGGGTCTCAGCATGGGTGTGGGGGAAGAGGAGGTTGACTGGAAAAGCCCAGGCCCCTGACCCCCTACGTCCCCTGTAGGGAAGTCCTGTCCCCCGGGGAAAGAGGCCCATGTGGTGGATGAAAACCTCGTCTTCTACACGGAGAGGGAGCTGGAGGCCTGTGTGGACGGGGCCCTGCTGGCTGAGCACATGGACCGGGTGAATGCGATCCCCTTCACCTACCAGCAACTTGACGTTTTGAAGCACAAATTGGACCAGGTAGTTTATGACTTGGGTTCCCACCTGCTTGTGGTGCCAAAGCCTTTCCCAGCCCCCTGGGGAGTGGTTGTGGGCCTCATGGTCAATTTCGCTGGCAGTTCTACCCACAGGGGTACCCTGAGTCCCTGATCCGGCACCTGAGTTACTTCTTCCTTGAGGTCACCCCTGAGGACATCCACAAGTGGAATGTGACATCCCTGGAGACCGTGAAATCTCTGCTTAAAATCAGCAAAGGGCGAAAGATGGACGCTCAGGTGACCACCTACTGGGAGGGCAGCACAGCGTGTGAGGTTGTGCAGGCCTGGAAGGAGCACAGAGTGTGAGGTTGTGCAGGCCTGGAAGGAGCACAGGGTGTGAGGTTGTGCAGGCCTGGAAGGAGCACATGGTGTGAGGTTGTGCAGGCCTGAAAGGGAGCATATGGTGTGGGTTGTGCAGGCCTGAAAGGGAGCACAGGGTGTGAGGTTGTGCAGGCTTGAAGGGGAGCATACGGTGTGAAGTTGTATAGGCCTAGGGGCAGGACATAGTGTGGGTTGTGTAGGCCTAAAGGGGAAGCATATGGTGTGGGTTGTGTAGGCCTAGAGGAGAAAACGGTGTGAGGTTGTGCAGGCCTGGAGGGAGCATATGGAGTAAAGTTTTGCAGGCCCGAGGGGATACGTCTCTTCCTGCCCCAAGGCACTTCACAGGGCTCCTCCCACAGGTGGCTGCTCTGATTGCCCGCTATCTGGTGGGAGGGGGCCAGCTGGACAAGGTCACCCTGGACATGCTGGCCAACTTCCACCCTTCCTACCTCTGCTTCCTCAGTCCTGAGCACCTGGGCCTCGTGCAAGAAAATGTTGTCCGGTGAGTCCCAGGGTCAGCCGGTGTGGTGGGTGTGCTGTGCTCCAAGCTAACCTCCCGGCCGCACATTGCCTCCCCAGGGCGGCCAGGCCTCAGGACCTGGATGCGTGCGGCCCACTGCAGATGGGTGTCCTCTATCACAAGGCCCACATCGCTTTCCGGAACACAAGCGGCTCTGCATATTTTGCAAGGATCAAGCCTTTCCTGGGTGAGCCAGGAGGACTAGGGGGGCGTGGGTGCCTGAGGTCCCCACCCGTGCTGCCAGCTTCTCACCTCCCTGGGCTTCCCTCTGGTGGTGTGCCCAGGGGTCAGGGTGCCCTCCATCCCTCCAAGCGTATGTAGGCTGAGGCCCCGTGCGTTCTGACCCCTGCTCAGGCACTTGACCACCGCCAGCCTCTGCCCTGACCGGCAAACGAGGGCCCAGAAATTCCTTAGAAAAAGGGGATCCTAGTAAAGAAAGTGGGCTTCTAATAGCTTGGGTCAGAGGGTGAGAGTGGGGGCAGGGTTGTGAGGTCTTACGCTGAGGGCCCCTCTCCCTGAGCACAGGTGGGGCCTCCACGGAGGACTTGCGGGCTCTCATTCCGCAGAACGTAAGCATGGACATGGCCACATTCAAGAAGCTGAGGAAAGAGGCCTTGCTGGTATGGCCACCAGAGGGGCGAGGTCATTAGCGGGTGGGCCCTGGGGGCTTGTCCTTGGATGGGCAGGGCCACATGAGGACAGGGGTCTTGGGAGGGGCAGCTCCAAAGTTTGGAGGTGCTGAGGCAGGGTCTGTGGGCTGGGGAAGCACGGGGTGGTTAGAACCCAGCAGAGTCCAGAGGCCCGGAGACTGACGGCTGCCTGGGGGCTCTGGCAGCCACTGACCATTGCTGAGGTGCAAAAACTTCTGGGTCCAAACCTGGAGGGCCTGAGGGCAGAGGAGGGGAACAGCCCCGTGCGCGACTGGATCTTGCGGCAGCGGCAGAAGGACCTGGACAGCCTAGGGCTGGGGCTCCACGGTGGCATCCCCAATGGCTACCTCGTCCTAGACCTCAGCTTTCGAGGTGGGCTGGGGTGGCCGGCTGGGGGGCTGGGGAAGAATGAGGTGGAGGGTCCGAGTCACTCCCTCTCTGTGCAGAGGCCCTCTCGGGGGCCGCCCCCCTCCTGGGACCTGGATCTGCGTTCACTGGGATCCCGACTCTGCTCTTGGCCCTGGCGCTGAACTGAGCCCACTGCTCTGGATGCGGAACTGGGCCTGCTGTGGACACCCACCTGGTGGGAGCAGGCCTGGGTGGTCCCTGCCCCACCCTGGGGAGAGAGCTCAATAAAAGAGAACCTGTTCCCCTCCAAAGAGGTGACCTGTGGTGTTCTGCTGACAGGGTGGGAAGCCCTATTGCTCTGGTGTCCTGAGGGGTGGGGTGGGGGTGGACAGCTCTGGTGTCCTGGGCCATGATGACTGTGGTGTCCTAAGGGGTGGGGGCCTGAGGCTGTAACCCTGTGGACATGACTCTCTGAGCTGCAGCCCCTTCTATTTGTACTTGGAAAGGTGGGGGGAGCAAGGCAGGGACTCCAAGTGGGGGTAGTGGTGTGGGGAGGTGGGGGTTGGGGCTTTCCTGATGTTGTCCCTTTGCCCCCTTCTCTCCTGAGGCAAGGCCAACAAAGCCAGGGTGGCCTTGGTGATGCCCCAGGAGGTGGCGAGTGAGAGTCCTGTTCCTGGCTAAGAGGGTCTCTAGAGCAAAGGGATACACACAAGATCACCTTGTCCTTTATTAAAATCAGAGAAGTAAAAAAAATAAAATCAGCGAAGTAAGTGTCACAGAGGCCCCTCCCAAGCCTCAGTTCTTTGTCCTGAAGACCAGAGGGTGGGGACATGTCTCCCTCAGCTGTCCAGGGCTCTGCCCAGGCCCTCCGTCCAGCTCCAGGTCCTGGGAGCTGGGTGTGGGCAGGGCCCTGCTCTGCAGGCTCCTAGACGTGGCGAGGTTTTCTGTGCCTGGGGTTTGCACCTTGGCTTGGGCTGGCGTCCAGCTCTGCCTTCCAGTGCAGCGCTGTCTTCAGAAGCCACTGTGCAGGTGCCCTGTGAGCAGGCCCAGCCGGGCCCCAGGGTGCCCTGATACAGCAGCCACAGGAGGCTGGAGGGCAGGGCCACAGCAAGTGGCAGGCACCCTAGGTGAGCTGGTGGGCTGCCTGTAGGTGGAACACAGAGGGAACACCCATCAGTCCGGCTGGGAGCTACACCCAGGATCCGGCAGCTCTGGGGCAGCCCCGCCCTCTGCGCTCCAGGCTCACACCATCCCTGTGGGTAGGGGAGGCCATCTGGGGTGTGGCCACTCTTCTGGGTCCCAACAAAGATCTCAAAGCTTCCCCCTTCCTGGGGTTTGGACCCTACTTTATGTAGATCAGTGGGTTTTGGAGGAGGTGACTCTGTCCTTTGATAACTCAGTGGACAATACAGGGTGAAGCCAGTGTCACCCAAATGTCACCCGAGAGGCAGATGGAAAAACTGTTGGCCAACCGAGTATGAGATTGGGCACAAGTAGCAGTTTGGGGTGCGTGGAGGCCCTGGGCAGACGAGGCCAAGCAGAGGCAGGGGAAGGCCTGCCAAGGGTTAGGGTTAGGCTGGGTGCGGGGCCATACCTGCGGTGGGGGCATCGTTCTCAGGCCTGCCCGATGTGGCAGCTGGATGGGATGTCCAGGGGTCGTTGTGAGTCCCAGTGGTCGAGGGGACTAGGCCAGTGGGACTGGCGGGGTCCATGTCCAGGCCCAGCTCGCCCAGGGCCGACCTATTCAGGCTGCGGAGCCAGGAGCTGATGGTCGGGTGGCTGCGTGCCTTCTGTAGGTCCCCCACGTTCTGGCCCAGCAGTGTTGTCACATTGTGGACACTTAGGCTCTTCGAGGGAAGTGAGGGAGCCACGGGGGAGACAGAGAGTCACGAAGTGCCCCAGCTTTGGGGCCGAGGGGCCGGTCGGGGCAGTGCTTACCAAGGAGAGCACAGGGGTGAGACCTGGCAGAGCCAGCCTGGAGAAGTGGCCTGGGGCCCACTCTGGGATGCTTGTGGTCCTGTGACCTGGGGCTCCCCTGGCTCGGATAGCCTGCCCACAGCCCCCAGGGCAGGTCCCAGGGCCCACCTGCAGCACTTGGGGGTTCAGGTTGGTGAAGGTGTGGATGTCCATGGAGACGTTGGTCTGGGCCAGGTGCTGCAGCTCCTCCATGGGGGCGCCGCCTGAGGGCCAGGAAGTGGTGAGGGGGGGCTCTGGGTGGAGGGCTGGTGTCCGTACACTGGGAGGGGTCTCACCGAGGTAGGGGCGGATGAGGTGGTAGTAGGAAGCTGTGGTCCTGGCGTTGCTGAAGGCCTCTCGGGCCTTGGAGTAGAGCACATCCTTCCGGCTCTGAGGGCAGGAGGAGATATCCAGGGCCCTGGCCTGCCTGGGGACGGGGTGAGGCTGATGGGCAGGATGGGAGCCTCTTGGCCTGTGGTTGGCTGGGCCTGGCCCTCTCTCCCTAAACCACGGCTGTCCCTTGCCCTCTGTACTGGGCTGATAGTATCTCTCCAAAATGTATGGCCACCCAAAACATCAGAATGTGACCTTGTTTGGAAATAGGATCTTTTCTATTTATAGATATAATCAAAGAAAGGTCCTACTGAATTAGGGCGGGCCCTAAAGTCTAATGACTGGTGTCATAAAAGAAGGGAATTTAGACACAGACACTGGTGGGAGACAGCCATGTGATGGTGATGGAGGCAGAGATGGGGTCATAACACAAGCCAAGGAAGGTCAAGGGTGGCAGGCAGCACTAGAAGTTGAGGCAGGAAGAAACCTCTGCTACAGGTTTTACAGGTTTCGGGGGGCGGGGGGCTGGCCCTGCTGACACCTTAATCCCAGACTTCGGGCCTCCAGACTGTGATAGAATACATCTCTGTTCTTTTAAAACTCAGTTTGAGGTGCTTTGCTTTGGCAGCTGTAGGAAACAAACACACCTGCAGGGGCCGGGCCCAGACCCCTCCTGAGCCCCAGTCTCGCCCCTATTCTCCTTGTGAGGAGGGAGCTGCCCCGAGCGCAGTGCGCGTGTCGCTGGCCGGGCTCACCGGAACTCCGAGGGCTGGATGGCCTGGATCTGCTGGGGGCTCATCCAGCAGAGGCGGGAGCCCCCGATGGCCTCAAGCAGGGTACTGGTGATGTTGCCTCTGTGGTCCAGGAACTTCTGCAGGATGGCCTGGGGGCAGGGCCGGGGTCGGTGGGGTTGGGATTGTTGGGACCAGGGTCAGTGGGCACCCCACCCCCATCCTTGCCACTCGCCCCGTCCCTGCTGCTCTCACCTCCGTCTGGTTCTCCAGGGCCACATCTGAGGCCAGCAGGTCCCTGACGGTGTCCTTAGATGTGATGTTCCACTGGCTGATCTCCAGGTGGGAGTAGAGGTAGATCAGGGAGGTGATGAGCCGAAGCTGCTCTTCTGGGACGCCGTTCGGGTAGATCTGAGGCAGGTGAGGGGATCAAGTCCCACCCCCACTGCCCACCACCCACCTGCCCCCACCCAGTCCTTGGCGCACCCGAGCCAACTTGGCCTTGATGACACGCTGGCACTCAGAAGGTAGTGGGTGCTGCAACAGGGGGTTCAGGTTGGCCCTGAGCACAAGGCTGCCCAGGCAAGACTCGAGCTGTGAGCAGTCGTAGTGCACCAGGAAGAGGTCATCCTGCAGAGTGGCCGCCGTGATGTGGCCTTGGACACAGGGTCGCCCTGTGGCGGGGGTGGGGTGGAGTTGATGACCCGGCTGCTCAGCTATGGCCTGAGCCTGCCACTGCTGCTGACTTGGGGCTCCACCTCACTCCTAACCCGGACCCACCCTTGACTCTCTCCCCAAACTTGACCCCTAGCTAAGAACTTGGCTCAGAGTAGGCTGAGTCAAGTCTGACCTTGACCTTGATTCCCAGCCCAGCCCAGGCCCAGAAGCCCAGCCTCACTGCCTCTGACTCACCTCTGCTGGCCAAGCTCAGGAGGTATGGCGGCAGGTGCGGCCGTGTATTGGGGGCCCCTACCCAGGAATTAGGAGTCCGGAGCAGTGTGCCCAGGCCACAGTGGCTGCACTGACCTGCGTCCCGCTTGGGCCGTGAGGACATTGACTTGGCCTTGGCCTCAAGGAAGCTGGTGACAAAGCGCCTGGCATCACGCTGGCTGAGCCTCCCTGCCCGGCACGCGGCCACCATGCTGCCAAAGAAGTCCAGGCCCACGGCCTGGCAAAGGGGTACTGAAGACTCCACACCCTGGGGCCACTTGGTCCCCTATCCTGCCCCACAGATGGAAACCCTGTGAAGGGACACCACTCGGGCACTGGAGTGGTTGTACGGCCAACCCTCAGGCCTGGACAGGCTGGTGAAGGGTTGGCTGGACACCCCTCTGCAGTTCAATCCCCTCTACCCTGCCCCAGGGCACCATCCTACCTCCTGCACCTGCATCCACAGGCTGGAGCTGATGTAGGTGGCCAGCAGGCCCAGAGCCTGCAACCCCTCCAGGTTCCAGCAGATGGGGGGCCTGGTGTGGGAAGGGGGTGTTGTATCCGGGCTGCCTGCCCATCCCTGGGTGCACAGTGCCCGGGCCTGCCCTGCGAGGGACGCCTTGCTAACCCGGAAGAGACTCTCCCACCTAGGCTTCAGGGCAGGGGTATTGAGGGGACCAGTGGGTGCTGACAGTAGCCCCAAACCTGGGTGCCCCGAAGGCTGTAAGGTCAGAGTAGGACTGTGAGCTACGTCAGAAGTTAGAGGTCAGCAGGGCTATGGGATTCAGTGAACTTCTGGGCCCTAACCCCAGGCTGTCTCGTGTCTCATCTCCAGGAGGGGAGGCCTCGGCAGAGGGGATGGGGCTCCACCTACCCGAGCATGGTCCTCCCACTGGCCAGCAGTGTGTTGAGAGCAGCCTTTTGGGCAGGGGTCAGCCGGGGGCAGCGCTGCAGGTTTTGCAGCACGTGGGGGTCTGAGGTCACGATGGTGGATGCATCCATGTCGCACACCAGCACCCCGAGGAGCAGCAGGTCAGAGGTGCTGAGCCGTAGGTGGGGCACCCCCTGCAGGACAGCAGGTCAGTGACAGCCTGGACCCATGGCCCTTCCACTCTTCCTGTCGTGCCCCAGGGCCTACCAGGCAGGCCAAGGCTGAGCGCTGCAGGGTGGCCCTCTGGTCAGGCAGGTTGGCCAGCAGCTCAGTGTCCCCCTGGGCAGCACGGCGGATGAAGGCCCGGCAGTCGGCTCCCCTTATCTTCCCCAGGCTGCAGGCAGTGGGGGGCTGTTGGGAAGGCGGGGCCAGCCAGGGGTCCTCTGGGGTGGCCCAGGTGACCCTGGGAGCTTGGGTTCCCAGGACCCAGAGGAGACATGCTCAGTCGGCTGGACTTTAGGGGGGTGGGTGGCACTCACTTGTAGAAGAGCAACAGATTGGGCGGGTGGAGCAAAAAGTCACCCTGGAGGCCATGCCGGGCGGCCAGGTTGGCCAAGCAGCTGAGCTGGGCAGGGCATATGGTGTGTCACTCCCTTGCCCAGTCCCTTCCTCTCTACCATGTCACCCTCCTTCTCAGTGGGCCTTCGGGCCCAAACCCTCTACGTCCGCCCCCACATCCACCCAGTTCCCTCCTCCCACTTGCCTGCTCTGTGTCACCTGGACTTGATGCCTTTCTCTGCCTGCCTCAACCTCCACATCAGAATGACCTCAGAATGGGTCAAACCCAGCCTGAACATTACTGCCCCCCACCCTCACCCTGGGCTGGCATTCAGGCCCTCTGCCCAACCCCCAGCCTCACTGAATCACGGAGGCTCGTCCCAATGCCACCCCTGCCCAGACTCTTGTCCAGCCTGGCCTGTTTCAGATTTATTACTAGTTGTTTCTTCTTTTATTTGTATGTGTGTTTCTTCCTTTTATTACTAGATTTCTACTGACTTTATAGTGAGACAGAACGATAGATGTCCTTTCTTTCTTCCTTCTTTCCTCCCTCTCTTCTTCCTTCCAACCCAGGGTAGACCATGCTTAGGTCAGCTGAGCATCAAGGTGGGCTCAGCTGGCCCCTCTCGTGGCCCAGGTTGGGGAAAAGCCAGGCTGAAAGGTCTACCCCAGGGGCTTGAGGACCGCAAGGGGCACCATGTAGCAGATGGAGGCAGGAAGGGGCCATGTAGGCCAGGGGAACAAGCCCTCACCCAACCAAAACCGGGAGGCCGAGGCCTGTGGGCCACTGGCTAAGGAGTCCTGGAAACAATCCGAAGTGGGCCACACTGGAGAACCACCCAAGGGGGTGGGCAGGCTGTGTCACCTTGGAGTCGGTCTAAGAGACGCCTCTCAGATGGCTATGAAATTGGCAGGCTGGTTTAGAGACAACTGTGTGTAGCGTCTCCATCACGGCCCTGTGGGTCCTGGCCGAAGAGTCCTGGCACTTGCTGGCCTGTGTCCTCTGCTGGGGACACTCTCCCTTCCTACCATCTCCAGGACCCTTCTCCTAGGAGCCTGTTCTTGCCCTTGACACCCCAGACCACTCCTGCCAACTGGGGCTCCTTACCTGCCAGGCCTTGAGGAGCATCTGCTGCGATGCCATCCTCCGGATCAGAGCTGAAAGCTGGTCTCGGGACAGCTGGCTGGCTGGCTGGCACCAGAAGTCTTGTAGGAAGGAGGTGTTGGCACTGAGCAGGAGGAGGCAGGTGGTGAGGGGCGGGAGAGGCAATCCAAAGTGCAGCATGCAGGATGGAGGTCAGATTCCCAACACAAAGAAATGAGACTCAGGAAATGTGGCGGGCAGGGCCTTGACACGGGCAAGACTTCTGCTTCCCTCCCTTCTTCCTCTGCCATTCAAGGGCCACCCCTGCCCAGATGCTGGGCCTTTGCTGCCTCCCGAGGCCAGTCCCCGCGATGGCTGAGGGTTTGGAGGAGATGTAGCCTGGGCACTTGCTGGCCACTGAAGCCAGTTCCGTCTCTTTGCTGAGCCTTCCTCATGGTGTGAGTCTAATAAAATTCGTGCCTGAGGAGGGGTCTCTTGGGGTTTTAACCTGGGCCCAGCTGGTCCAACTTGGGCCTCCAGCCCTGCCTGGTCAGTCAACTGATTGATCAGTTGATCGATGGCTGATCATGACCTCCAACTGCCCAGGGATAGAGACGATAGCGGAGTCTAAGGACAAAACCCCGGCCAGGGCGGGGGCACGATGCAGAGTCTGGCTGGGGCCTGAGCGGGCGGCACAGCCTTGGGGCAGGAGGAGGGAAGTATGAGGACTCAGGAGAGCAGTGCTCGCCTGCCAGGCCAAGGGGGGCAGTGCAAGCGGGGCGGGGGGGCGCAGGAGGGGCCAAGCGCCGGCCAGCTATGATGACCTGGGCACCTGCTGTCCACCACGTGGACATGACTCTGAGGCAGGACACCGACCTCTGGGCCATCTCAGGGCAAGGTGGGTGAGTGAGCTGGGCAGGCAGGGCCAGGCCCTCAGTTAGAGCTGGGAGTCAGTGAGCCGGGCGCAGCCACGCACTGCCATCGCGTGCAGACCCTGGAGGCCCTCCTTTCGTTTTGGTTAATCCTCACCCAAGGATCTTTTTTGCATTGATTTTTTTTTTTTATCCTCACCCGAGGATATTTTTCCATTTTTTGTACAGATAGAGTGGGAGGTGGAGAGAGAGAGAGAGAAACATCGACGTGAAGGGACACATCGAGTGGCTGCCACCCGCACAACCAACCAGGGCCAGGGACAAACTGCAACCGAAGTACGTGCCCTTAGCGGGAACCGAACCCGGGTCTCTCCGGACCGCAGGCCGACGCTCTAACCGCTGAGCCAAACTGGCCAGGGCTGATTTTTTTTTTTTTTAGAGAGAGTAGAAACATCAATGTGAGAGAGATACATTGATTGGTTGCCAGCTGCCCTCCACGCATGTGCCCCAAATAGGGCTGGGGATTGAAGCTACAACCCAGGTACATGCCCTTGACCAGGAATCGAACCCATGACCCTTTGGTGTGTGGGCCGACGCTCTAACCACTGAGCACACCAGCCAGGGCAGTAGTCCCTCCTTTTCGCCCACCTCCTCCCCCAGGCCTGCCAGGGAATCAGCTGCAGGAAACATGGTTTGTGCACTCAGAGCCTACAGGAGGGGCTGGCACTCACCTGGCCCACAGGTCGGCCCTGCTGGCATCCAGCCCTTCCTGGGAGAAGCCTTTGGCCTGGGGATGAGAGCAGTGGGCAGTGAGCCACGTGAAGAGGATGAGACCTGGGCACGCCAGGGCACCTGGAACAGAGTAGGCCGTAAGCAGCCATGAGACCTCGAGAGGCTGAGCCCTGCCGAGGGGAGCACAGGTATGGGAGCATCTGGCACGGGTCTGCCCGGGAGCCCTGTGCCCTGGGTTAGAACTACCCCAACACGAAGACCTCGGAAGCCATGTGGCCCTGGTCACCTGTGTGTAGCACCCTAGGCCTGAGCACGTGTGTGTGTCTGACTAGGTGAACGTGGATGTGACTGTGTCTGACTGCATATGTGTCTCTCTGACACTGTATGTGTGTGTTCCTAATAGCATGTACACGTGATGTGCACATGTGTGGTAGCATATACATGCTTGTGGTGGCATGCGTGCCCAACACAGTACATACCTGGTGGTATGGCAGTGTACATGTGTGAGATGATGCGTACCCATGTATAGCCGGTGGTGTGTGCCTCTTTGTGTCTGGAAGCATGTGCACACATAGGTGATGGCCTGTACATATGCCCACCAATGTCTACATGTGTGGTGACATGTGCATGTGTGAACAGTGTGTACCAATGTACATGTACCTTCTATCCTCGTGGCTATGTCCTCACAGTCTGAGACACAGGACCCTCAAGCAGAGGAACTAGGGTCAACCACCACCTCCTCCTGAGCACCTTCTAGCCATGACCTCTCCTTGTTCCCACCTTGTCCCCTGCAGGCCCCTCAGGCCCAGTGCCCTGCCTGCCTTCCTCCTTCCCTTCCCTGGCCCCCAGCCGGCCATGGAGAGCCTGGTGGGGCAGGACCTTGATTGCAGGCTTGGAAGGACACGGTGGCGGGAGTGTGAGCACTCTCATCTGCCTAAATGGTGCTCGGGGGCCCCTTCCATGAGGGGAGTCATCACACCTGCTCTGGGGCCCATGGCTGTGCACCGTGCACCGGTCGTTCTGGCAGGAAGACGCTGGGGTCACAAGCAGCGGGTCCAGGAGAAGCTGGAGAGGAGACAGGAAGTGATGAGGCCGGCCCCACTGTCTCCCCCCACCAGCCTTGGCTGAGGGGCACAGACGAGGAGGGTCTTTGTCAAGGGTCACGTAGGATGGACGCCTTGCAGGGCACCCTGAGCTGGGCTACAGCTGCGTCTCTCCATCTTTGGAACAAAAAAAGCATCTTTGGAACAAAAGGGAGCTGCTCTAAGGGGAGCCAGGACTTTCTTATCGCAGGTTGGCTCAGGGGACCCACAGGCTATGGCTGGGGCTGTGGTGTCTCCAATGAATGGATCTCTTGACAGTTACAGGGGAGGGGGCAGCAGTCCCAGCGAGTTCCCACAGGTAGCTAGCGGAGAAACCTGGTGGCTTCCCAACCTGCCCTGGAGCAGCTAATGGCTTCACCCCCACATCTGGGAGGCCCAGGCAGCTCTCTGTCCTTCTCTGGGCCTAAGACCTGGCTCCAGACACAACCCACAGTGCAGCTCCCCCTGGGCAGCCCTGGCTATGGAGGAGATCAAAGCTGTGAGACTTGGGGATACAGGTCCAGGGAGGTGAGGGGCACCTGAGAGCCTGGCCCACACTGCCCACTCCTGGGCACAGCCTTGCCCAGTCTCAGTTTGAGGTGCCTGTGGACCTCCGGATTCCACATGGCCCAGGAGCAGGACAGGGAGGTTACTACCCCATGCAAGGGGCAAAACAGAGGCACAGCTACCTGCCCAAGGCTGCAGACAACTAGACTAGAAAACCAGCCCTGTGGGTCCAGCTGGTGATGACCCCACCCCGGCCTCTACCCCTCACCTGAGCACAAAGACCTGCGGTGGAGGGTGGTGCTCCGAAGCCACGCAGCCGCCGTGGGATGCAGAGGGTTGTAACCAGGTGCCAGACAGTCCAGACACTAGTGGTCCCAGCCCACCGAGCGTGTCAGTCCTTGCAGCTGAGCCCTGGGGCACAGGGGTGCTGCAGGGTTGGAGCGCCAGGGTCCCCGCTCACTTCCATGCATCACCCAGCACCTTAACTGTGCAGCCACCCACTCCTGCAGTGAGGATCGCCAGGCTGATGTGAAGGAGAGGAGCTGGGGCTGTGCCAGGTGACGCTGCTAATGTTGGCCCCTGGGGCCTCAGCACAGTGGCACCTGCTCCTCAGCCCCAGGAGAGTGGGATGTTGAGTGCATGGCTGGCAGATACCCAGTAACCCCTTCCCACTGAAGGGTCGTGCCTCAAGGGCTGTGTGTGTGTTCACACACGTGCCCTGTGTTCATTGTGTGTGGTGTCTGCTGTGCACACAGGTGCCAGTACGTGTACACCTGGGAGCACACACATCTCTGTGCATGTGTGTCCCCTGCAGGGACATTAGGCACACGTGGACTCAATGTGGTGCCTAGGTTTAGTGACATGCATGGAGGTGTTTCTGTTCTGTGGGTGCTGGAGCAGAGCCAGGCACATATAGCCACATACCTGTGTACCAGGAGCACAGAGGGCATGTGGGCACCAGGTGGACAGCCACACATGCCCAGGGACCAACCCACCAAGCAGGCCTCCAAGGCTGAGCAGAAGTGACTACAGGAGGGACTTCCTGACCTGTTTACAGCCCGGGATTAGCTTTCTGATGACTGTCATCTGCATTACAGGGCTGCAGGTGCCCAACAAGCCAGCCTGGTGGCCAAGCAGAGGCACTGACCTGAGCCTGGGGGCCGACAGCTGGAGGGATCAGTTGTGGATTGCTCTGGCTGCTGCACAGGCCCCGTGGGAGTCCAGGGTTTGGCTGAGGGATTGTTGGGGCTCTACACACTGAGATTTTTGCGGGAGTGGGATAACATGTGGTAGTGGGGTCTCCACCCATCCCAGAATTGGAGACTCCTAGTTTAGAGTGGGTGGGAGCAGGAAGCAGCCAGTGAGTGCAGGCCATACACCGGCCCGCCCACTGCAGGCTAAGCCTCCAGGGCAGCCCCAGGCCCAGGCCCAAGACCACAGCAACAGAGCAATTGCTGGGCTGTAGTCACATCCTGCCCTGGCCCTTCCACACCTCCCTGAGTCATCCTTGGCCCATGGCACAGCTTCAATGCCCATTTCACAGATGAGAAAACTAGACCCAGAGAGGCTGAGCAATTTGCCTGTGGCCACATAGCAGTGAATGGGGAGCACAATCAGACCTTGTGGCCAGGCTGGAAACCTGTGTGTGGGATGGGGGGTGGCCTGGGGGTATGGGTATGGAGGCAGGGGCAGAAGGTAGAAGGGGAAAGGTGGAGCAGGTCTCAGCAAGGTGATGTGTCCTGAGGTGGAAGGTTCAGCAGATGTGAAAACCGAAAAAGGCAGGGTGTGCTGAGGATTGGTGATGCTGTTCCAATGCACCTGTCAATCATGCTGTGTATACCACAGCAGCCATCTGATAACTGTTACCACTACAGGCATCCTGTGGGTCCCCCTGGTTTGCTCCAGCCCCTCCTGTTACAGATGAGGATAGAAACACAAGGAACAGGTGCTGGGACCTGGGTCTCTGCAGAAGCCCTATGGTGGCTGCTTCTGGCTCCATCCCAGCTGAGATCTTCATGTGATCACAGGTAGGACCAACGCAGGAGCCCCATGAAAAGACCTGTCTGTCAATTGGCAAGAGGAGGGGCCTGGTCTAGCTGGGTGCAAATACATGGCATGTAGTCTCAAACTAGCTGGTGGCTCAGGTGACAGCCCTCCCTAGGCATTCTAACATGGTGGAGGGCTCTAAGGTTGGTGGTGGTCAGGGGCAGTGGCTCTATGAAAGACTCTGGTGACACTAAATGGATGCTCCAATGTCTTCAGCTGGTATGACCAGATATCCTTCAGCTTCTCCCCAATCAGGGCAGGAGGGTGCGCACCACATGGGGGTATAGGTCAGCAGCCAGGACCTTGAGGTCAGTCCTGGGTCCTGCAGGAAATCTTGGGACAGAGATCTGCCTGGTGCAGCAGTCTGGGCTCCTTCTAGAACCCCCACATCAGAATTATTCATGGTTTTCACAGGATTAGTCACTGAGCCTTTATTCTAAGTCCTGGAGCCCAGTTGCAGCTGCAGCGATGTGGGCATGTTGTGGGGGACAGAGGAAGCGGGAGTTGGGCTGCCCTTGCTCTTAGGCTAAGGTCTTACAACCTGTGGCTGGGTGGGAGGACCCCACAGAGCAGCACTTAAGCCAGGCCAGAAGGATGGCCCAGACCCACCCCCACATGTGATATAGGATGTGGGTGGAAGCAGGAGACCTACAGGCAGAGTTCAGCAGAAGCCAAGGCACAAGGTAGGACTGGCCAGGCAGGGAACCAGTCAGGGTTTGCAGGTAGAGAGGGCTCAGCTGAGCTGGGGTGATGGCACACAGGGTCTGAGCAGGTAAGGAGCAGGGTGCTCTGGTGGGTGGACTAGGGGCCCAGGAGGAGCCCACCCAGGCAACGGCTGGCCCAGGTCCTTTTCCAAGGCAATCCCTGGGCAAGTCTACAAAGCAGGCCCCACAGGTGAAGCTTTGGAAACAGAAAGTGGTTTGGGGGGATAGGCAGGCCTTGGTTTCCCCTGGGGGGGGGGGCTGGTCCTACCACCCTGAGCCCTTGCCCTTCATCCTCATAATCATGGCTTCCCGGCTTCCCCTGCTGGCATTGGCCCCTCTTCAGGTTTGGCTACTGCAGTTGGGGTGGAGCCTCAGTCCTGTGGCTAGGATACCCCTGCCTCTGGGAATGGGCTTAGGGTTCTGACCCACAGCCCCCATCCACCTGGAGGTTCCAGTCTGCACCCCAACACTAGGCACACACTCTCAGTTGTCCAGCTCCAGTGTCCACTCTGACAGCCATTGCAGACATGAGGCCCGCTGAGCCTCTGTCTCAGTGGGACTAACAGAGGGTGGTGGGGGCCGGCCTGGCCCGGGCAGGCACATGGAGGGGCTGCAGGGTCCAGGGCCCCCTTCTGTGGGTTTAGGGTCATGGGCAGTCCGCAGGACCTGAACAAGCTGGTCCAGTGGCTGTACCAGGGTATGGGGGCTCCAGCAGGCGTCAAGGGTGGGCACGAAGGGGTCTGGTGTGCAGGCTTCCACACACTCAGCCTCTGTGGGGATCCGCAGGTACAAGGCATGCAACATCATGCGGAATGGTTGGTCCTCTCGGCCCGAGGCCTGTCCATAGGTCAGGTCCCCCACAATGGGGTGGCTGAGGGCACTGCAATGTACACGCAGCTGGTGCGTCCGGCCTGTGTGGGGGGAGAGAGGACCAGTGAATCAGCGGTGCCACTCCATGATCATCACCCACCATTTGTGTCACACCTGGCACCTCCCCTAGCTGCCAACTCAGTGCCTTGTTCAATGTCTGGGGACAGCAACTCTTCCTGCTACAGATGAAAACATAAGAACTCAGAATGGAAGTCAACTTCTGGGGTTACCTCTGGTGAGGGCAGGGCCAGGGTGGCGCTCAGTGTACTGGAGTACTCAGGCCAGCCTTCCCACTGCCTTCCCATCCAGACCTGCCGTGCCACTTGTAGTGCAAGGGCTGCAGGTCGTAGGATTAAGTATGCAGGAGAGGATCAGCTTTGCCAGCAATGGTTGGCGTGGGCCAAGTTAGGCTGCTCTGCTCCGTGCCTCAGTTTCCTTTCCTATGCAACAGGAATACTGAAGTGCACTGCTTGAGGAGATGCTGACCCCAGGCATCTACCACGCTGGGGACAGGACACTGTTGATGATCAGTAAGGAGCCTGGGAAGCTTTCTGATCCCTGTTCCTCAACATACCTGTGAGGGGTTGCAGCAGCACTTTGGAGACGGGGTCACCTGCATAGAGCCCGTGTTCTAGGACCACCAGCTCCGTGAGGCTTGGTTTGGGGTTCTCACAGCCTGGGTGGGGAGAAAGGGAGGCTGTGACGGTTGACTGGGTCAGCCGTGGGACCCTAGTCCACCTCAGCATAAGGTCTCCCTGGATGAAACATGCCCCGTGCCCCCTTTCCCACTGTACCCTGGGTGCCCTCGATGCACATGGTGTGGGCCCGACCCTCTGTGCTGTTCCTGCCAATAGCATAGCTGATGGTCATCCGGCTCTCCTGGATGTATCCCCGAACCTGCAAGGCAGGGGAGCCCACCTGATACTCAGGGCCTGCCGAAGTGGGCTGAGCACTGGAGTCCCCATGCCCCAGGCCTGGCCAGGCCTTACCAGAGCCAGGTAAGCCTTGGTAACACGCCGCTCCTTGAAGCACTTGTAAGCACTGCCCGCAGCTGCCTTGTTTAGGGCCACACAGAGTGCTCCGCTGGTGGAGAAGTCCAGCTGGTGGCAGAACCTGGCATGGAGCAAAGGCACAGAAGTGGCTGGGTTGGGGCAACCATTTCCCTCCAATGGAGGCTACTTTGGGCTACCTGTGCTGCGCTTCCATTACCTGAACCCATAGTAGGTGTCCGGGTCAGCCAGCTCAGGGAAGCGGTGCCGCAGCTGCTTCTGGAGGGTCAGTGTCTCCCTCCACATCTTGCTATCAATGCGCACATCCCAGTGCTTGTTCACCACCAGGAAGTCACGGCTCTGGTACACAATGGACAGGTTCTCCACGCTGCCTGGCTCCATGGTAGGGGCCTGCAAAGCAGGCAAGCACTTGGGAGTGTTGGTTCGTTGGGGTGACCAATGTGTCAGGGTCTGCCAAACTTGGGTAGACAATCCCTGCTCTCCAGAGCTTTGGATCTGAGACCACAGATGCTGTATGTTAGGCAAGCACGTGCTACTATGTGCCTGCACCACCGTTCTCCTAACTGCTCTCATCCTTGAACCACATAGGAGAGTGTAGGCTGGGGTGGAGTGTGGCCAAGGTGGGGGAGCCAGGAGCCAGTGTTGCTTTGACTTGGGGCAGTCCCACAGTCCCAGCCAGATCCAAGCCTTGGGAGAAACAGTCTTGTTCTCCAGCCCGCTCCCACCGACCCTTCCCAACAGATCAGCAACGAGTGATAGGGACCTTTTCCTGAATGGGGACGGGGTCAAGGAATGGGGCTGCTACGCCCCCTCACGGCCAGGAGCTGCACAAGTCAGCCGGGTGCAAGGCGGGGGCGCTGGGTGCAGAAGTGGAGGCCGCCCTCGGCCACCCACACGCCCCTTCGCAGACACGCATTCCCTACCTCTCCTCCGCAGAAGCCCCCACCTCCTGCGTGTGATGGGCACAAGCCGAGGGATTCTGGGTGGACCCCGGTTGCGAATCCCTCCCGCGACCCCGCCCACTCCGGAACCGACCTGCAGTTGGGTCGCGCCGTCCGAGGTCCCGAGGCCGCTGACCTGTCCTGGATCCAGCCCCCGCGTCCCAGCACCTCGCGATCCGCGACCCCGGGACCTGTCGCTCGGCCACGGAGCCGATTCCCTCCAGGTCCGGCCTGTTCTCCCAGTCCCGCCCACGCCCCCCTCGACGGGCGGCCGTGCGAGCCAATGGCGAGCTCCCGGGACCTGCCTATTGGACTCCAAACCTTGACTCGGCCCCACCCAGCCTGCGCGCGCAGCCCCGCCCACGTCCCGCCCGTCCGCTGACCAATAGCGAGGGCCGCCAGGCACGCCGGCCGTTGATTGGCGGCGCTGGGACGCTGGGGGCGGGAGCGGTGCGCAGCTGTGGAGCGGGAGGTTCGGAGCGGGCGGCAAGTGCAGCCGGTTCCGAGGGCCCGCGTGGCCATGGAGGACTACGAGCAGGAGTTGCACGGCGTTGAGGACGACTTCCACAGCCAGTTCGCGGCCGAGCTCGAGGTGCTGGCGGAGCTGGAAGGTGGGCGCAGGTCCCGTCTCGGCCTTGTCACCTGTAGCTCGGGAGTTCGGGAGGGCTACCCGGAGGAGGGCCGGCGAGCGAAGGCCGGAGGCAGCGCAGCCTGGCGGGGGGCGGGCGCGTCGGAGAGAGAAGAGCCTTCCAGCGCTGCTGACCGTGTGGAGGTCGGCTGTCCTGAGGCGAATGCTGTGAATCTTCTCCCAGCAGAGACAGAGGCCCTGTCACCCTGCAGGGACCGGATCCCGCTGACGTTTGAGGAGGCTGTTGCTGGAGCGGACGCTGCAGCTCCTTGTTCTGCAGGCGGACCTCCAGAGAGCCGCAAGTATGGTGGCAGGAAGAGGCAGCCGGCCACCGACGCACAGAGGGACAGATCCCTGCTCCTCAGTACGCCCCGTCCTCCACGGGGGTAGGGGGCAAGGCAGGGGAAGCACCTCTATTTCTTCCCAGAGCGTCTGTGTTTCCCCAGCTCCCAGGGTCAAGCGGCCCAGGCTGGAGGCGGTCAAGAGGCTGAACTTTGGGCAGGACGAGATGGAAGAGCTGCTGCTTCCTGACTCTCCCCCTCGGGACATCACCCCCCCACCAAGTCCGGAGGTCCCGGCAGAGCTGGGGGGCGAGGGGTGTGTGGCTTGGGGCACAGGTGTTCTAAAGTCTTGGAATTGGAAGGTCTTGTTTTTTAGACAAGGTTCTAAGGCCTGAGGCTGGGGGCCTGTGGGAGGGCTGGGTAGCAGAGGATGGATCTGGGCCCCTTATCTGAGTGTAACAGGAAGCAAAAGTTCTGAGACAGCTCTGGTCCTTTCTCAGGACCGTGGACGCTGGTGCTGACGTGGGTCTCGTGAGGTCCTCGCCAGCTGCTCGCAACCCGGTCTTGAGGCGACCCCCTGTCCTGGAGGACTACATCAATGTGACCTCCACAAGTGGTGACAGGGCCTTTCTTGTGCTACAGGCTGACCCAGTGGGCACTGGGGTGCAGGTGGGTGCTGTTTGGCCATGAGAGGTGGGTAGGCTGGGTTTGTCAGGCTTGATGCTGCCCAGGAAAGGGTCTTGGGGATCATAGCCATATTAGGACCCTGGGGACTTCTCATTCGCTCCCAGTCATCCGCTCAAGAGGGACTCTCTTAACTTTCCCTTTTGCTTGTTTCCTTTCTTCTTTTTACTCCTATAGCTGCTCCCCTCCTAGTGGCTTTTCCTTTTTCTAGTTAAAGAAGGGTTTCTCCATCTCTAGGCCTGCTGATGCTAGGGAATGCCACTGGGGTCCCTGAGCATTGTTGGGAGGGGGTCATGGGTAACCCTGTGACCTAAGAGGGGCTCCAGAGGTGACTGGTACTCTCCTTCCCCCACAGAGCTCTTTCCTGAACACTCAGTGGCGTGGGCATGGCCACCTGGACCTGCTGGGTGTGTCTTTCACCTCCCTGAAGGAGCAGGTTGACAGTGAGGTGGGATCTGCTGGGGCTTGCTGGGAGGAGAGGGGTAGCTCTGGGGTTACTGGTTGTCTGAACCATCCTGATCCCAACCTCTACCGTGCACAGCGGCAGCAGCGATTGCTCGAAGAAGCCCAGCGGCTCTCAGACACACTGCACAGGTGATGCAGTGGTCCCTTTTGCCCCTGGAACCCTCGCCAGTTCTTGAACTGCTGAGCAGTGGGTAATCCTTGCTGGGGTTAAGGCCGGGCGGCTCAGGGCAGAATGCTCTTCAGCCTCAGGACAGAGATGGAAGAGGAGGCCCCAGAGGAGGTGCCGGCCAACAGCCAACATGACTCCCAGCACTGCCTCTGGGTGGATGAGTTTGCGCCCCAACACTACACGGAGCTTCTCAGTGATGATGTGAGGCCCTGTCTTGCTCAAGTGTGCCTGGCTTCCTTGTTGCCAGGAGGGGAATTCAGGATCCAGCTAAACAACATCATCAGCCTATAGGGCTGTTGGAGGGGAGAGCAGGGCTCTGGTCTGCATTGCTGAGTTATAGATGGGGAGATAGACCAGCACAAGGCTGGCCTATGTTGCTGGTCACCTATGATGTGGAGTGAGGATCCAGAGTAACCCATGCCTGTAGCCTTTGTTTCCTTTCTTATCAGCAGCTGATATCCCTGGGATTGGCAGGGCTCCTGGAGGGGTCAGGACCAGGACTGTGGGGATGGAGGCCCCTGTGTGAACCCCACTTTGCCACTCACCAGCAGGATGAGTGGGTTTCGGTCACTTGTTACTCAGCTTCAGAGTTCCTGTGTGTGTCCTCGGACAGGATGAGGGGCAGGCACAGGGACCGTTGGCACTGGTGGTCCCCCCAGACAATGCCTCCCTTCCCACAGTTCACCAACCGCTGCCTCCTCAAGTGGTTGAAGCTGTGGGACCTGGTGGTGTTTGGCCGAGAGAGGCCGGCCCGGAAGCCGAGGCCCACTGTGGAGCCTGCCCAGGTTGGCAAGGAGACCATAGCCCCCAGCAAGTGGAAAAGTCATGAGCAGGTGTTGGAGGAGATGCTTGAGGCTGAGCTGGACCTGAGCCGGCGACCCCGGCAGAAAGTGAGTTCCACCTGTCTACACTGCATACACCTCTGAGTTCAGGGTTTATACTCACTGGCTAGTACCTTCACACCATTTGGGACCACAAGGAGTGTACATTCACTGTCTCCATAGCTGGGGGCACGATTATGTGTTGGTGTGGTGTGTCACTGTTGTGAGTGGGACTGAGTTGTTCTAATGACTCAGGTAAGATCAGTGTCCCTTGAAGGGCCTTGTACCTACCAAAGAATGATTGTGATGGATAGTGGGTGGTTTAGAGGGATCAATCATGCCAGTAATGGCTGTGGCTCTGTCAGGTTTCTCCATTACTTACTTTATTCAGGGTTTTCTCTCATTCTGAAGTGCTAGTTCTGAGCCACGAGTGTGCTTGGGTTCTCATTTGGTGACTGGGGTGGATGTGGGGTGATAGAGACATCCCCCGGTACCAAGCCTAATGGGACGGGGTTATCAGCCTTGGTGGTTGGGCCAGGAACTCCCCAGGTGGTACAGATTGCAGCATGTCTTCTTGTCTTGGCTGCAGGTAGCGTTGCTGTGTGGACCCCCTGGGCTGGGCAAGACCACCCTGGCCCATGTGATCGCAAGGCACGCTGGGTACTGTGTGGTGGAAATGAATGCAAGGTGAGTGGAAGGGAAGGTCTGGTCTTTGGGCCTCGTGTCTGTCTTGGTGTGTATGGTTGAATATGGGACACTGGTGGGTTAGAGGTGGCACTGGGGTCCCAGGGACATTGGTGGTGGACTGGGGTTCTTGAGTCACTGGAATTTAGAGCAGTCATGTGGCAGGGTCTTCTTTTGTGGTAGCCTCGAGGTGTAAGTGTGGCAGCTTGACCCTGGGAGATCATCCTGCCAGGGACACTGGCTGCTGCCCTGGCTGAGGCCACAGCTGCCCTAATGGCCCCTCCCCTGCTTCATGGTTACAGTGACGACCGCAGTCCTGAGGCCTTCCGCACGCACATTGAAGCGGCCACACAGATGGAGTCAGTGCTGGGCACTGGTGGGAAGCCCAACTGCCTGGTTATCGATGAGATTGATGGGGCCCCCACGGTGGGCCTCCTGGGTGCCTGGCCAGTGGGTGGGTGGGTGTGCAACAGGGGCTGTGGCTCATCGTGCCTGATGCATGTTCCTCCAGGCTGCCATCAATGTGCTCCTCAGCATCATTGACCGCAAGGGCCCAAAGGAGGCAGAACTGGGGGCCCGGGCAGGTGAGGGGCGGCGGCTGCGGGCAGAGGGAGGTATCTTGATGAGGCCAGTCATCTGCATCTGTAATGACCAGTGAGTAGGGTGGCGTGGGGTTTTGATGGCACCTGAAGGTGCTCCACCGGGTGGGGCTTCCACAGGAGAGCAGAGGGCCCCTGGGACCCTGGGAGAGCACATCCCAGCCCCTCCTGGCCACCCAGTGGATTTGAGACTGGGATTTGGCATGAGGGTCTTCCTCCGCACCCTGCACCATCCCGCAGGTACGCACCCTCTCTGCGGCAGCTGAAGCAGCAGGCTTTTCTGCTTCACTTCCCACCTACACTACCATCCAGGCTCATTCAGCGGCTGCAGGAGGTCAGTGGGGGTGGGGAGGTGGGGCACAGGGTAGCATGGCTGATGACAGGGTGGGGGGACATGACTCCTGTCAGGGTCTCATTGCCCCCCTTCCCCTCTTCTGCTGCCACCCCCCCATCCCGGGTCCTGGGATGAGGGTGACTGGATCACTTTGGTCTGTGTTGGTGCATGGTCCCTGATGGGGAACTAGACCAGTCCACAGGATCTGCAGCCTTTGTCTCCTGTAGGATGAGAGCAGCTATTCACCTGTTTGTCAGAAAGAGGTGGCCACAGGGTGGGCTCTGAGGGGTGTTGGATACACGTGCTCTTGCCTCCTGCAGATCTCCGTACGGCAGGGCCTGCAGGCCGACCCGGGTGCCCTGGCAGCTCTCTGTGAGAAGACAGACAATGATATTCGTGCCTGCATCAACACCCTGCAGGTGGGCTGAGGGCAGTTGGCTGTGGTGGAGTGGGGCAGGGGGCAGCTACCTCTCACTCCCCACACCCTGTGTTTAGTTCCTGCATGGACGGGGCCAGCGGGAGCTGAATGTTCGGGCTGTGCAGACCACACGAGTTGGCCTCAAGGACCAGCGCAAAGGGCTCTTCTCTGTGTGGCAGGAGGTTTTCCAGCTGCCCCGGGCCCAGAGGTAGATGGAGTGGGCAGAATGGATGGGTGGGCCAGCCTCGGCCTGCACATCTGTGGTGACATAGCCCTGGACACAAACCCTATGTGTGCAGGCCATCTCTCCCTTGCCAATGGAGACCCAGGGCTGCCTGGGCCCTGCTTTCAAGGCTGTGCCTCAGCCTGCCTCCCCCATTGTCCCCTCCTTGGGGCCGCCTGGGGTCGGGAGGGTGATGCCAAGAGGAATAAAGTGGGTGGGGGCTCCACTCCAGCTCCAGCAACCCTTCTGCAGGCGACGTGTGGTCCAGGACCCAACTCTGCCTACCCACACGCTCCTGCTGGGTAATGCACTCGTGGGTTTGGGGCACCAGGCTGCTGAGGCACCTCTGACCATGGCTGCACAGCGGTTCTACCACATTCTGCATGTGGCCACCTCAGCGGGTGAGCGTGAGAAAGTAGTCCAGGTAACTACACTCTACATGAGTCTTCTTTCCAGGGCGCGGTGTTGAGGACTGTTTCCGTGTCCCTAGGCAGTGAATAGGAGACAGTTCAGAAAGGGCCAAGCTCTAGAAGAAGCAGATGGGAGGAGAGTGAGGTGGGGCAGACACAGGGTATCAGGGAGACCTCTGAGGGGACTATGAGCAGCACAGAGGGCTGGAGGAGGGGCTGGCTGGTGCTAGGAGGGGAGTGGCCACCAGCATGGGCTAGGAGGGAGAGGCAGTGGGCTGAGGGGGGTGCTTTGATTGATGGGATCACTGCTAGTTGGGAACCAATGTGAGGGGCAGTGCAGCAGCACCTGGGTAGCCTGATCCAGTGGCTAGGAGGGGCTTGATTTTGGACATGAGCTGTGGGAATGGGGACATGTGGATTAGAGAGCAGGTAGGGTTTTGATCTGAGCAGGTGGCAGAAGATGTACCTCCAGCCGAAAGCCCAGCCTAAGCTATCCCCCAACTAAGCCGCTTTGGGTTAGCGGTTAGGGATCTGTGCAAATCCAGAAATCCATGGTTGTGGAGGGCAGAACAGTGGCAGGAAGGGACAGGACTTTCTCGTGGAAGGAGTGGGGGCTCTTCCCTCAATTCTAGTGTACAGAACGTCCTTTAGGGAGGGATGGAGGTAGCAGGTTCTTTCCTACACATCCCAGGATCTTGGTCAAACCAGAGTGGGGGTGGTAGGTGGGCCCTCCTGGCTCCCCCCTTGGGGCCATGTGACCACTCACTGGTATTGCTGCCACCCCAACACCCCAGACTTGGCAGGGCAGAGGGGTCCCAGTGGGAGATACTTGTTCTGCCGGGGGGGTTGGGGGGGGTGGTCATGATGCGGAAGGCACTCAGGGACCCACCACCTACAGGGCCTGTTTGACAACTTCCTGCGGCTGCGACTGCGGGACTCCAGCCTTGGCACTGTGTGTGCAGCCCTCGACTGGTTGGCCTTTGAGGATCTGCTGGGCCAGGCCGCCTACCACAGCCAGAGCTTCCAGTTGCTGCGCTACCAGCCCTTCCTGCCTGTGGCCTTCCACCTGCTGTTCGCCTCCAGCCATGTGCCAAGGATTGCCTTCCCCAGTAGCCAGCAGGAGGTGTGCTTTACACCCTGCCCCTGTCTAGGCTGGGCCCAGGATGCTGGGCGTCTTGGTTCTAGTTTACTCTCCATCCCAGGCCCAGAACCGGACAAGTCAGGTACAGAACCTGATCCAGACGCTAGTGTCAGGTATTGCACCAGCCACCCGCAGCCGAACGACACCCCAGGCCCTTGTTCTGGACACTCTCTGCCTACTCCTGGACATCCTTGTGCCTAAGCTTCGCCCTGTGAGTGCCTCATCCAGAAGGAGGGTGTGGCTTCCAGTGGAACTGGGTTCCTGGCTGTGCTCACTGTTTCTACCTGTTGCCTACCTGCCCACAGGTGAGCACACAATTGTACAGTGCCCGTGAGAAGCTGCAGCTGGCCAGCCTTGTGGGCACCATGCTTGCCTACAGCCTAACCTACCGCCAGGAGCGCACGCCTGACGGGCAGTATGTCTACAGGCTGGAACCGTGAGTCTCTGCAGCACCTGGAATAGGGATTCTGGGGGGCTGGGCCGGGAGTCAAAGCATGGCCTTGGTGAAGTGTGTGAGTCTCAATTTCTCTATTTGTCAGAGGGTGGTGGGGGTGTTGGTTCCAGTTCAGCTCTTGCCCACATATGACTGAAGTGGGCCCTCAGGTTGGATACAGCCCCAGGATCTAAGGTTTACTACAGAACCTCTCACTACCCCAGTGTCCCCAGGAGCCACCCCAGAGGATCCTTGAGCTCCCTAGGGCTTTGTTTCCCTGTCCTGAGATGGTTGTGAGGATGGAACGCTGGCCCTGGGGTCCTGCTGCCCAGTAAGGGCCTCAGTGTGTCTGGGATGCAGGTGTTTCTCTGTGCTGATGGCAAGGGGGCAGTAATGGTGGTTCTTGACCATGAAATCCTGTCTGAGCCTCAGCCTTGCGATGTCTCATTCCCTCCCCTTGTAGCCTTGGGAGGTCCCTTCTCACGTCCACATACAGTTGAGAGAACTGAGGTTAAGGAGTAATCCCCCACTGGCCCAGAACTGGACCCTGTCCTGCAGCTTTCTCGTTCTGGCATTTGGTGTCATTGTGGTGGGTTCCCCTGCCCCTGTCACCACTGAGTGGGTGCCTGGGTGTCCTGCCCTGCCTACTCTGAGCAGGAACTTGGAGGAGGTCTGCCGATTTCCTGAGTTACCTGCTCGAAAGCCCCTCACCTACCAGGCCAAGCAGCTTATTGCCCGTGAGATCGAAGTGGAGAAGATGCGGCGGACAGAGGCCTTGGCCCGAAATGGAGACAGCCCCCAGGTGAGCCCACCTCCGGCATGGGGCAGAGCAGGGTAGTGCAGTGCCCTCCAAGTGAACACTGCCTTTGGAATGACCTTGCCTAGTCAGCTCTCATCACATCCATTTCCTGCAGGTGGACAGGAGTCCTCCCAGGGCCAAAGGCCCACAGGAGGGTGCTGGGGAAAAAGGGGCACGGTCACCCACCCCATGCAGCCATGAGCAGCGACTGGAGCGCATCCTGAAGAGAGCTGCCCTGGAGGACCAGGTTCAGGGGCTGGAAAGTGGCTATGTGGGCGGGGATGTGTTACCTTGGTGCAGGCTGGTTCTAAGCTCTGAGGGACCCACCTAAAAGGTCCAGCTACCTGCCACTCCGCGGAGTAGAGTTTTACCTGGGCTCAGTTTCCCATTTGGGCAGGAGGGTGGGTTCTGCTGGTACCTCCTGCCCTGGCCCTGACCTTGATGGATTGGGCAGCTGTGAGGATGATAAAAGACAGAGGGGACACTTGCTGAGCAGGTCATCACGGGATGAGGTGAGGGGGCTGGGAGAGGTGTCTACTCCCCAGCTGTGGGCCTCTGTTCAGAGGCGCCATGAGACCCACCCTTCCTGGGAGAGTTCTCCCTTCGTGGCAGAATGTGTCTTTCCCCTGAACCTGACCATCCACCCTCTTTAGACTGAGAGGGATTTCTTCGGCCGTGTGGTCATCAGGAGAGCAGCAGCCCTGAGTGCAGGTGTGTCTGGGGGTGGGAGCTGTGGAAGGAGGGGCTGCGGTCGGACAGAGGATCAACCCTGTGGCCCCCACAGAGGACACGGCCCCTGAGACTGATGCGGTTGAGCAGCGCATGGGCACTGCGGTGGGCAGGAGTGACGTCTGGTTCCGCTTCAAGGAGGGTGTCTCCAACGCCGTGCGACGCAGCCTGCATATCAGGGATCTGCTGTAGCTGGGTCACCAGACACCCAGGCTCACACTGGATGCCCTAGACCACGCTCTGCTCTCCAGGGTTATGCCAGATGCCCTGGTCCATGCTGCACACTTCAGAACCATGCTGGCTGCCCCAGTTTACCCTAGATGCCGAGTCCACACCAGATATCCCGGGGTCGTGCTGGACGTCCCTAGATTCACAGTGGACACCTTGGTGTTACTTTCTTTGTTACTTTTTATTTTGATTTTGAGAGTACATTTATTAAAGCTGGGGACAGTGAAACAAGGAGTGGCTTAGGACTGAAAAAGCAGCAGGAGAATCTAGGCGGGGCTGCTTTGCTCCCTGAGAAAAAGCCAAAGAAGTGAGCCAAGGACCAGCTGTTATCAGTTCACTGGAGAGTCAGAGAAAAGGGGGCCTTGGAGACAGGTCAGGGGTTAGCCCAAGACAAGCTGCCGCTGCTCGTTGTTCCCTTGGTTGCAGATCTCATGGGGTCCCTTAGAAATTAGGAGATCCGTGCCTGTGGGAGAAGAGAGGGAAGGGAAAGGCACCGGCATGCTCCCAGGAGGGAGGGCACCGGAAAGTCTTCATAAAAGTCACACCTTTACAGAGTTGTCTTCTTCACAAAGAGGCATGACCCTGGGGTTGTGGGGCTCTTACAGGATGGCACACTTGCCCTTCTCCACCCATGGGTTGTTCTTCATGAGGTCAGGGTTCAGGAAGGGGTCCTTGGGGATTCCATCCTCGATCCACTTGATGAGCCTGTGGGTGGGGAGATTGGGGTGAGTAGGTGGGCACCTGGCCCCTCAGAAGCGCTGCCCAGTGCCTCTGTGTGAGGATCGGATCCTGGCTTATGCAAATGAGCACAGGACAGGGAAATGAGATGCGAATCAACGCTGGCCCTGGTTGGGTGAGGCTGAGGCTCTTGAGTCCTGGGGACTCACTCAGGGATGGTCTTGGATGACATCTCCCTTTTGAAGGCCAGCTGGTACTTGAGGCTCTCGACTTCCTTCTTCATCTGGGGCACGTCCCACTCCTCCATGGCATCAGGGGCTTCGGAAGTGGCCAGCCTGGGACTGGAGGACATCGGAAGAAGCAGTAGAGATGCCACCCTGCAATAACCCCCAAATGCTCCCTCCCCGCTGGTGAGATCCTCTACACAAAAGGAGTGAGCCCCATCCTTGAACACTGACACCCAACCTACTGCCTGGGTAGGTCCCCAGAGGCCACACCACCAGCCCTGCATGCTACTGTAGGTCCACACAGGCAGTACTAGGTTGCAGGGCCTGAATCCGAGGCTCCACTAATGAGGCTCCATGTGTCTGACTGCCTTCTACCCTATGGGGCTAATTAACTGCAGAGGAAACTTTCCACCCTTTGCTGTGCATCCCCACCCAATCAAAGCCTTCCCAAAGCTGGGCCTCTGGGTTGGAGAGGGCTGGGGCACTGTCCCTGTTGGGGAGATAGCGGGACTGGCACACAGCTCAAGATAGGTTCCCAAGGGCCCACATCAGCTTCCCCCCCACTATGAGTTCCACTTTCCGCTCCTGGTTGCAGACATAGCCCAGATCATCATGGAAGGGTCAGCACCCTGCCCCCACCCCATGTGCCTCCTGCTTTGCATGGGCAAAGCCCCCAGTGAGGACAAGTTAGTCCTGGGGCTAGGAGAATTTGACTGCATTTTGCATCTCTGGCTAGGGGTGGGGGGTGCTGAGGATCTTGGAGGTCAGAAGCTGGACAACAGGTTCAGGACTCAGAACATCTGCAGCGTCCTGCTGCCGTGTCTCCTGGAGTTTCACAATGTGCATGGCCCAGTTTCTGTTTGTGAACCAGCCTGGCAAAGCCACAGGTTGAGACCCCTGGAGGTCCAGCCAGTTAGGGGCGAGTGAAGAAGATTCACTCCTTGACCCTCCACACCATGGGCCCAGGGAGTCCCTTACTGCTCCCCAGCCACTACTCATCACTGAGGCTAGGAGCCAGGAAGCTGGCTTTTTTGACCTTGGGAGGGTGGCCAGGGGGTCCACAGAGGCTGACAGAAGTATGACCCTCCCCACTCCGGGCTGTGTAGGAAGCTCCGGGAGGAGGGGGGAGGATAGGCCCTGGCCTTTGTGAGGGTTGGGGAGAGTGGCCCGACTGGGATGGTTAACCAGGAGCAAGGGTGAGAGCCCAGTGAAGCAAGGTGTCTTGGAGGGGCAGCCAAGAGGGGGTATACAGGCTTCTCTCCCAGAGACCCCAAGTCCCAGCACCCCAACCCCCAGAGTGGGACAACCATGGGGGGGGCATCCCAGTTGGGAGCGCTGCAGTGGCCCTGTCCAGAGCCCCCTCCTCCACTGTCTGGTACTACTTGTATGTAGCCGCTGTCCAGCCCCCCTCCAGTCCCACACACCCTGCTTGTCCCATAATCCACACCACCCCCCGACAGTGTTTAGTGGGCACTGCAGGCTGGTGCACGACAACAGACGCTGCTTCCCTTTCGGTTGGCTGCCCTGCTCCACCCCACCCACAGACGGGGTCCTCTGGGCTGCCGTCTGGCCTTGTCCCTTGGCACATTCAGGGTGGCTGCACTGGGCTGGAAGAGAGGCAGGGTGTCTCATCCTGGGTTAGGTTTGTCCAGGTCGGCTCAGTGGGACCTGGGCAAGTCTCGGAACCCCGGGTTTCAGTTCCCTGCACAGCCTAAGGGACCAGTTCATCAGACTTACCTTGGGCAGTGATGGTGAGAGAGAAGTGATGACAAGGGCCAAGTGATGGCAAAGTGACTGCGAGGGCTAAAAGATGGGTGAGTGAGCCTGACACACAGGCAGGCAGAGCCCAGCAGGTGCCCGCCCACTCCTGCCACCTGGGGCCAGGCCCTGGCACCGCCCCCACACTCCACCCGCCCTCCTCCGGGCTGAGATGACTGGGGACTTGGCCTGGCCAGGCTCCACAGCTGGGAGATGCAGTTCAAGGTCAGCTCTGGTCCTGAGTGATGAAGTCCAGCTCTGCCCTTCAGTCCTCAGGGCAGATGCCATCCGAGCCAGGACTGCATTCCCTTCTCAGACGATGGTGCCCTGCTTCAGTCTTCAGGAAGCTGTACCCTTGGGACCATTGGGTGACGCAGGTGCCAGGCTGTATCCTGGTTGGGCCCCCAGGTGTCAGGGTCCAGTTCTCCAACCAAGGTGCCCAGGAGGCCAGAGCCCTAGCTCCTCAGGGGGATGCCTAGACCAGGCCCTTAGAAGGTGCTCCTGTGGCCTCCCCTGGGCTGGACCCCTATGACTGTTCACTCTGCCCCGTGCCCCTTCAGACACACAGGTCCTTCCTGTTGTGATTCTGAAAAGGGGTCAGTGATGCTTCCGGCCCCTCGAGCATGTACGTGATGATACGCCAGGAGGCATTCTGGAACTGGGGCATATCAGGGAAATTAGGGATTATTTTTATTATGGATTTGGGGGCCAGGGGCTTAGAGCAAAGGATGTCTGTGTTCTCAGAGCAGATGGCCATAGTGCTGGCCTCTCTCCACCAACCCCAGCCCCCACTCTCTCACCCCCAGGGCCTGTGCTCACCTGCCTGCCAGGCCCCTCTGGTGCCAAGACTGGGCTACCTGGGCTCTCCTGGGGCTGGGGCCCTGCTCACTGGTGGGAGGCTCCGGGCAAGGTTCTTGTCGGCCCCCAAGACTGGCTCAAGGTTTAGACCGAGTCCCAGTCAGGACCGGCCCCATGACCCAGTCACCTTTCCCTAAGAGGGCATGAGTAGAACCAGGCATCCAGGACCAGGCTCTAGCCTGACAGTGTCCCAAGAATCTCCTGAGAGAGAAGCCCTCGTGTGGCTTGGCTAGGTGTGGACCCCCAAGGTCAGCTTTAGGGGCCTGTTTTACAGGTGCTGTTTGATCATGGTACTCCCCCTGCCAGGGAAGTACGCAGACGCTGTTTGAATTCTCCGTGTGGAATCAGAAAGTTCAATGTGGTCACAGCCGAGATGCACTAGGAACCACTGGTAGGGCTCAGAGGCCCATACTGGAGTGCACCTGGGTGTCAGCACAGCATAGCCGGCCTGCAGGCGGGCTGTGGAGCCCAGATCCTGTGCTTCCCCAGTGCTGTGCTCACAGTCTGGGTGTGGTCATCCCCGCCACTGTGGGGACACGGGGCTCAGAAGCAGTCATTGCGCTGGCTCAGATGGGCCCTTGTAATGAAGGCCACAACTGTGCTTGGTGGCCAAGCTGAAGAATGTCTGCTTGTGTGAGCCCATGGAACCCACGCCCTTGGTTGAGAGTTGGGGAACCCTGTGACTCCTATTCCTCACCTTCCTGGGAGGCGGACTTGTGGACCCCACACATGTCCAGGCCCTCTCACTGAGCCTCCCAGGGGGACTGGGCAGGTCCAGAATGCTCGAAGGTGCAAGGATTCACAGTGGAAGGGGGACACTTGAGAAGCAGTGACAGCTTGTCCTCCAGCCGAGTGCCAGCTCGCAGAATCCCAGAGTGGGTCCAAGGGGACCAAATGCCTTTCTGAAATTAGCTCCATTAACTGGGCTGCTGGTGAGAGTCAACAGAGCTCCTCACTGGCCTAGAAACTGCTGCCCCAAGCCCCATGCCTGCAGAGCCCCCGTGGGACCAGGCGATCTAGGCCAGTCTCCCAGGGGACGTGCAGGCCACGGGGGCGGGGGCAGTGAGACTCTGCAGTGATGCTTTCAGTGTTCGGGAAGAGTAAGAAATGGTGTGTGGTTTTCTCTGGCACCTTCTGGAAAGGGTCCCCAAGAAGGGCTCAGAGACGAAGGGGAGGAAATGCCCCGACTAGACAGGGCCCACAGAAGGGGGCTGTCCCTGCTTATTCCCAGTATGGTGCCAACCTTTGGCCTGTCTCTCAGCTACCTAGTGCCACCTCTGAGCTACCTAGTGCCACCCCCAGCTGCTGTCAACTCCAGCTCCGTGTGGGTGGACAGCGCCACTGGGGTTCTCCAGAGACAGGCTCTCCTCTGCACGGTTCTCTAGTGAGAGAGGGCAGGCATCCCTGGACAGAGGTGACAGCGCCCTCAGCAGGTGTCTGTACAGTGGGGACCTGGCCTGAAGGCCCTCTGTCTCATGAAGAGCAGGGAACCTTGGGCTTACAAACACATCACCCCCATCCTGAGGCACAGTGACAACGGCCCCGGCAGCTTCAGGGGGACTTGCTGACTTGTTTCCCATCCCTGGAGACCAAACTGGGGAAGGTGATCATGGGGATTAGAGAAACACCGAAGAAACCTTTATTTCACCTGATTAAACAGAGCTTATAAAAAAATATAGACAGTTTTTATATGATCTTTGAAAGTTTGAAATGATTTGCAAAAACAATTCAAGCTCTTAGACCCACAAGTGTAAAATACACAACAAATGATTCCAAGGAAATCAAGGTAGGCAGCTGGCTCTGGTCGGCACAGTCTTCCTGAGTTACAAAGTCTCAGGGAAGTGATATCGGTTCATGAGGTTTCTCCTAATAGTCCTGTGCTCTAGGCAGGAGGGTGTGGCCACAGTTCCTCTGGTGGGCTGGCTCCTCCATTGGAATTCTCAATGTGGCCAAGGTCTCTACCTCCAGGGTCATATACAGTAAAGCAACTTCTCTCAGAGCATTGACTAAAGAAAGTCACACATTTTCTATTAACATGGATCTGCTCAGCTGTAGGTGGTTTGTGGTCTCGAGGTATGGCCTTCTGAAGGTCTGGAGGAAGCGGGAAGTCCGTGACATGCTATGCGGAGCAGGTGAGGCCTTGGCATCACTGGCTCTAGCGAGGAAGGTGGCTTTCAGACTCACGCTGCTGCTTCACACATCCACCAACCCCAACAGGACCCTCTGGTTGCAGGGCATCTGGGCCCTGGCCCAGCCCTGTGCTCCTGGGCTGGCAGCTTGCCTGTAGGTGGGAGGATCCCGAGCAGCCAAGGCCCAACCCTGGGTGTGGCTAGAGGAGGGGGAGATAATGACAAAAATATCTTCTGGGTGAACCTTGCTATGTTGAAACTACCACCGTGAGTGGGAGACAGAACTGCAGGGCAGGTGCTACTTACTGGCTCAGGTTTTCTGCCACCATGTGGGACAGGAAGATGGCAAT